ACTAAGGCATTAATTCTTCCAGATGCACAAGGAAACATACCCTGTGAGTATGTATGATCTGTGCCTGCTGACACAAGCCTTTTTTAATTCAATCCACTGATTAGATTGAAAGAAAAGTTTATTTTGCTTATTTGGAGAGAATTATTATTTGGTCACATAATTTTCAAATTTAGCATGATACATTTTTAAAAGTGTTGTGTAGCTGAGGTTTTATTATATCACACTTCATCATCAGATACTCTACCTTCCAGAAGAAAATAATTTTTTCCATAAATCTTCACCATTGCTAAGGGTAAATATTTTTTCTTTCATTAAAGAAATAATGAATATGAGGCAGGGTGCTTCTCAGTGAGTAGAGGGAGAATTTCAGTTTATTTTGGTTTCAAGTTCCTTAATATATGAACATACAAACCTTGCAAAGAAATTAATCTAACCTGATTTTTGTTGTCAAAGGCTCATCAATAATCCTTACACAACACAAGATAAGTCACTGGAGTCTCTGAAATGCTCCCTCTGAAATAAATAAATGGCAAATTGCACGTGGGAAGAAATGTAGTAGTAAATATTGTATCTATTTTCAAGTCTAGAAATACATATTTACATAAACACAGAAACAAAGAAAAACTTTTTTTTACAGAACTGATTTAGAAAAAAAAACTAAGCCAGGTCATATATGAAAGATCTTTTTATACAGCTCTCATAGATGATTTCAAAACTTCTTAGGTCCTTCAGATTTTGGATTCATTTGTCACTTAGGACAGATAACTTTTGGAATATAGAGAAGTTCAAATAAAAACGCCATTTTTTGTTTACCCAGCACAAATCTGCACCTGTATTTTATCGGAATGATGTACCTTTGCCAATAGACTCCAGGGCACTCATTTTACCTATAATTCCCCAGTCTGCACAATCTCCCACCCTCCAACCCCCCCACACACACACATCACCGATTTTCAATGTCCAGTGTTTCAAGATACTGTTTAAAAAGCAGCTGATGTGTTTTACATATTTTCATTTTAAATAAATCACTTAAATATAGGCATATATGCTTCAATTTTATGATTTCATTTTTCTATATCATTAGATTTTTGAATGTGTTTTAGTACATATACAGGCCCATGAAGGTATTAAAGTGTGTCAGTTCATTTCATCTCATTAATCAGCTACTTTAAAATGTTTTCCTTGCAGTGCAATGGAAAATAAAACTAATGTTCTTTTTTATTACTTCCAGAATTGAATTCATACTCCAAGATAGCTATATTTCATTTATACAAAATAACAAAAAAATTTAGATCTCTGACTTTAATTTTATATGAAATTGCTCTGCTAGATAAAAATGTTTGCATTTTCAATTTGCAATCTGAAGGGTGCTCCCTTTTTCTTCATGTGAAACAAGTTTTCTAAGTTCCTAGCTGTTTTAAATAGATTTCCTTCAAATATTAATATTGGGCATATATTCACTTTTTCCCATGATGTATCCCAAGGTTGACACCCCTTCCTGCTTCCAAGGCACAATGACGTTTGTATTTTTATCCAGAACAACATTCTCTCTATTGGTTCTATTTGTAGCATCATATGAGTTCAAGTAAATTTGAAGTGTTACATTTTATAAGCCAGGAATTTTTGGAAGGTTATTGATATTTGATAAAGGCCCACTTATTAATGCTGCTATATAAACTTATTTCCTGAAGTCTTTTTCTTGTAAATTTGATTGTTTGCCTGAGAAGTCCAAGAAGAAATAGACGAGTAGATACATGTGTATGTCTATCCACTTCTGTGTATGATGTACTATAGATATTTGTGTTATGATTTATACTCAGCCATATGCCTATGTATATATATATATCACACATACAAATGTGTATACTCTACTAGTAAATTATATAACTAAGGGGATGGATTGTTTGTTGTGCTCTGTTTTGTTATGATTTTTTTTGGCAAGGAATGTAGTGTAAAATGTTAGTTAACTGCCTATAACTTTTCTTCCTTACAAGGCTAAAAATTCCATTTGCAATCCCAAATTTAAGTATTTTCAGGTAGCTTCATTCATTCTCCTTTGCCAGTTTTATGTGCCCACAGATGTTTTAAATTTTTTTTTAATATTACTGCGTTTCAGAACTTTCTGCTCTGAAGGCCTACAAGTAAATGGACTAAAGCATCAGTGTAAATGAGGAGCGAACTTTGGTTTTTGAAAGTTCATCTTTTAATACACCAATGTATGTCATTATTTCTAATAAAAACTTTTTTAATATTAAAACTTAACTCTCTATGAAACTACCTCTGAAGGGGGTTAAAACTCTATAAAGATGCTGCCTAACACTAATAAATAATTAGCAAAGCAATATGAGATTATTATTTGTAGTTGAAATAGTTATCTCAGAAATTCTGAACAGAAATTAGGAATAATAGTGAGGTCATCTATTAACCCCCCCAAAAAAGGTAAAAATATACAAATAATTCTACATCCAAGACCTTGAAAATCATTAGTTTCAAAGATTAGATCAACTAAAGAAGCAACTGCAAGATTTAATAAAGGTCCTTTTAAGAAAACCATGAATCAAATTTCATCAAAAATACATTTTGGCAATGGGGTTAATCTCTTGGGTAAAGTAGAGGGAAGTGTTAACCTTTCTCTTAAATCTGTCTACAATGCTTTCCCTTGAGAGCCGAACAAACTTAAAGGCTTTAGAGTTTTAAGGCCAGAAGGGATTTAATTTGGTACAAGTCTGGAGAGTTTCATTCTCCCAGCTTGGTTTTTCTCTTTTCCACCACCAGGTTGCTGACAGCCCCTGTTTTGCATGAAATCCTGGAGTTCACCCACTTTAGGACAAGGAGAAAGTTTAGACTCCAGTGGCAAGGTCTGTATATATTTCAATCTAGAAAGTTAAACAGCCAATAAGATGGATAGAAGCTAAGGAAACTGACCACAAATGAGAATAAGAAGTGGGTCAGAAAAGCAAAAAGTACCAAAATCATTTACAGGGTCCTCCTGAGTCTCCCGTATCCATAAAGCACAAACAAAAGCAAAAAACCCAGAGAAATCACATAACCCAGTCCACTACAGACTAATACGATTTGGGAACTAGGGGATGGGGGAGATGAGGAGCATGTACAGTCTTAATTATCCGATTATTTGTTGGAAATATTACCAACCCAGAATATTTTCCTATATTTATTTCAGCCATACAAATGCGCAAAGACATTATGTCCTTTGCTGATCCAGCATGTCAGAAGAGCAAAAGAGGAAAGAAAGAGCGTTCTGAGCATCAGATCAGCAGGGGATAGGTATTAACTACAATGGAAGTGAGGAAAAGAGGGAAGACAGGCAGAGAGAGACAGAAAGAGATAAAAAGAGACAGAGACAGAGACAGAGAGCAGGTGCAAATTTTAGGTGTAAGTCTGCAAAGGTTAAATTTACATCACAACGAGTCTTAGTAGGGATACTCTTCCCTCTCCTGCTGTGGTAGGAACATACATCCAAGAAGCGAGAGCGCGCACGCACGCGTGCACACACACACAGACACACAAACACACACACAAACACCCGCTTCTGCTAAGGTGAAGGAAGAAACAAATGGAAATGCAGTCCCTCTTCTCTGGCCAGCCATCCCGCAGGCTGCACGCAGGGACTCTGGTTAAGCTGTAAGGCAGCTCTCCTTCCTCAGCCCGGCACCAGGCTTGGCCCCTGTGGAAGGAAATAGGCAGCTACCTGGGGGTCAGCTTTAGTCGGTCTTTAAGGCCCGCGGCGGAGGCAGCTGCAGCAGCTGCACAGGCGGCGGGCGTGGCGAAAGAGAGGAAGCGCTAAGACGGCCAGAGAGCAGCAGCAGCAGCAGCAGCAGCAGCAGCCGCGGTGGCAGGGGCAGCAACAGCAGCAGCAGCAGCAACAGCAGGCGGCAGGCAGGCAGGCAGTCTCCCGGATGCTGAATGCGGGCAGCACTCTCCTGCCAGAGCCGAGACGAGGGAGGGCTAGAGCAGCAAACATTGTGGGGGGGGGGGAGTTGGAGGAGTCGTAGTCGTGGGGGAGGGCTGGTTGACTCCTTCTCCTTTCTCCTTCACTCTATCCCATGCATCATCCTCCGTCCTCATCCCCCATAGCACTCTCCCTCCCCACCCCCCCTTTTTCTCCCTTCCCTTCTCACCGCTCCTAGAAGCTCCCGTTTGGAAATGGAGACGAGCAACTCTCATCAGGACTCATCAGCTTCCCACAGTCCTGAGAAGATGAACTGGTTGGGGTGGGGGGGAAGGTGAAGAATGGGCGGGTGGTGTCTGTGTATGTGTGGGGGTGTGTATGTGTGGGGCTGCGGGGGAGGACGGACTGATCTGAAAATTAATGTAGCCCAAACTGCATACTACCGCTGGAGGATGCACCCTTCAGAGAGATGTTCTCTCTCACACACGCACACATGCATGCATCTCATGCATACACACACGCATGCACAGCACATCCCCAGATGGATTCCTCTTCCTGCAGCTAGTCTGTGTCCTTTCCTCATCAAGGGCAGGGAGGAAGAGGATGTATGGATGTAGATCTCTGGATGAGTGTTCATGCACAAACAAGCCTGTATTGCTAGGAGCTGAGTGTACACCCGTGTGCAAAAGCGCTGGAGTGCTGAGGACTGTTGTGCTTGAGTGTGTTGTGTGTGCGCGCCCGCGCGTGAAACTACCGGAGCTAAGGGAATGGAAACAGGCAGAAAAACGAAGTAGAAAGATTGGTTTAGGAGAAAAAGACAGAGCATCCACATTGCTTTTCCAGAACCGCAGATCTTCAGAAAGGGTCAGGCAAAGCCGATGAAAGCAATTAAGACGCTTCTGATTTATTTGCTTTTCTGTCACCCTAATTTACCTGGTATCTCTCTCTTTCTGTGTGTGCGTGTGTTATTAAATTTGTTACCTAATAGGGGGTTGTGGCGGCTACATTGCAGTAATGTATACTTATCCCGTCTTACGTGGCTCGAACATGAAATCAGGATTGAATTTGGGGTTTTACCGGTTGGTTAGTTTGGTTTTGCTTTGCTTAATCATTACTAGGTGGTTTGGGAACTGGGGGTGGGGGGGTGCAACTCCTCCCTATCTCTCGCTCATTGCAGGACTGTGCAGCTCTTTGAGAAGTTTCTAACATCCTTGGCAGAAGGGTGAACTTCCAGCCCTTCATTTCTAGGAGTGCTCTCCGCCCTTAAGTGGTAGATAGGTGGATTTGAAAGGAGTACTGTCATTTCCCCCGCCACTTCGACCGTAAACTGTCTTTCCCTTAGAAAGGAAGTAGCGGAGATAGGGGAGTGGAAGGACAGAAGGTTGCTAGCTACTGTCCTTCCTTGGACTCAGTTGACTCCCCTGAGAGGAAGGTGGCTGAGCGCTTGGCTGGAGTTATTTGTAAATAATAGTGACCGCACAGCACCCTGTTTATATGGGCAAGAAAATTACTGAGGAGGTGGGGATAAGAGAGAATAGAAAACTACTACTTCTGCTCCCCTACTCCCTTTCCCTTCTCCCACCCTGCTACCCCTCACCCTCCACACAAATATATATGCATGTATATATATATATATATATATATAGGTATGTATGTCTATATACATATATATGAACTTTCAACTTCCCTGGGAGCTCTTAAACACTTCACTGGTGTAGTTCTCACACGACGTGTGAAGGTGTGGATTAACAAAGTTCAATTTCCCAGACAGAATGCGGAGGGTGAGAATTTGGCACTGGGGACCCTCTGAAATAGCTGCTCTCCAAATACTTGAAGGAGAAAAATGGACGACCTAAAAATTAGTCCTTACTTCCTGATTGAGTATAAACCCATCAGCATCTTTAATGGTACAAATGCTCTTGTTCTTCTTGGACGTTTAGGGGAAGTTTGTGTGAATGCAGCCCACTTTGACCCACCATAACACACTCATATATGCGATTATACAAAATATACAAGATACCACATAGGTATGGAATTTTTTTAAAGACCCACACTGTATAAATTTAAGGTTTTTATTGGGCAGAGCAGATTACTTAAAGCGTTCAATTTCTCAGCGATCCAATTTTATTAGGATTTACTATCATTTGTGCTCTACATCTCTGGGGAAATAATGCTTTGATTAATGTAATCCTGGGCTGGGATCCGCCACATGCCCTTCTCCCGAGAGTAGGGCCCTGTTTGACAAACAAAAACAGAGCAGTAACTATTGCAATCTGCACTCACCTTTAGTAAGAAAGGGGAAAGGGCGACGGGGGTGGGGCATGGGGGGCACTCATTCTCACACAGCTCAAATACAATATAGAGCAATGGTTTCCACACAATGTGGATTCTCCTTTATATACAATGCCTCTGGTTGGGTGGGGGCAGTCAAAAGCTCACAGCCAGTTCAGTGGATACCATTCTGTTACCCACTGAGAAGGAAAGCCTCTCTGGGAATGTGTGCGTGCGCGCGTGCGTCCCTGTGGGTTCTCAGGCTTTCTACTTCTTTTGTTTCCCACCACAGGCCTTTGCTGCAGATGGATTGAGCCAGCCCTTAGTTCAATCGCGGGGAGACTGGAGCCTGAGGAGCAGCAGCAGCCCCAGCGGCAGCCGCAGTAGCAGTCTTGGTATTGAGCAAGTGTCTCAGTGCCCCCACCCCCTGAAGCCAATACACCTCCTTAGAAAGGGCCACTGGGGGAAGCAAATCCACCAGCCAGAGGCGGCGAAGCAGCATGGACAGGAAAACCAGGAACGACACAAACTAAAAAGGGGATCAGACTCAACCGTTTGTTTCAAAAAACCAAAACACCTAAGGGACAGTAAAATGAGCTTTCCTTCTTTCTGACCTGGGAAGAGCATGATGCTTCTCCATTTCACATCACCTTCTTACCTTCCCCCTTTCCCCCCCCCAAGAAAAAATAACTCAAGTAGAAAAGGAATAAAGAAATAAAATCACAGCTACGGATATACCCAAGTATATTCTCTTCTTTCTTGTCCTATCTCCCCCCGTCCTTCCTCCCATCCACCACCACCCCACCTTCCCTCTTCCAGTAAAGCCCAAGAGAGGAATGTTGGGGGATCTTGGGCTGTTGTTGATGGTAGTTTACTATTTGCCTTACTCCGCTGTAACAAAGCAAGTCTCAGTAGCATTGTGCCTGAAGAGGAGATCCTGTGACAAAGGCGCGCCCTGGCTACAGTTTTGCCATCTTATTCAAAGTCTGGACTAATAAATCCAGGGAAGGGGGGCTTTTCAGCCCTGAAGATGCGATTTGCACCGGCTTTTTCAATAAGATGCCAGCATCTCGCTTATGTTTACCCAATGACCCTATTACAGTGACTCAGCGTTATCTCTCTCTCTCTCTCTCTCTCTCTCTCTCTCTCTCTCTCTCTCTCTCTCTCTCTCTCTCTCTCTCTCTCTCTCCCTCCCTCCCTCCCTCCCTATCCCACACACATCCCCTTCACTGTCTTTCTAGTTCTCTCTCACACCCTTGCCCTCCTTATCGATAATTCTTACGCTTTTCCCCTTGTTGTCTGGAAAAAAACAAAAACAATGTTAAGTACATTTCTGTCTGACACGACGGTCAAAAGTGTTATTAATCTTTCGAAAGACAGGAAGGAAGGAAGGAAGGAAGGAAGGAAGGAAGGAAGGAAGGAAGGAAGGAAGGAAGGAAGGAAGGAAGGAAGGAAGGAAGGAAGGAAAGAAGGAAGGATAGAAGGAGATCAAAATCATGCATAGTGTTTCTGAACGAAATTAAATGTAGCTTTTAAAAAAAATCTACTGGAGTCTGGCACTAGGATGCAGATTCAGAGGAAAGTGACACTTGAAACACTAAAGTCACAAGTTTTGGTCAGTATGTAAGGGAGGGGATGGGAACCTCTTCTCCACAAACTAAATATTTCTGTAAAAAAAAATCCAAATGACACTTTCTTATTGGAAACTGAATCTCTGGCTGGCGAAGTAGCACCCAGAAGTTAAATCTTCTTTTAAAATTCTGATTATTTTGATAGTTGCTACTATCCTAAGTGAAACCTTAAAACTTGTTTGTTTTGCGATGTTAATCAAACAATAAAGAGGCCCCTTACGCAGCAGCAGCCATTCGCATCCGTAAAGGCTTTCTGCACCATAAAAGTATACCAAATTAGGATGAAAAGTGTGTCAAATACCCCTATAAAGCCCAGGACTCTTCTTCAGTCCTATCACACAACAAGGATTTTGTTTAAGAAGTTGGAGATTTGATTTTAAAGGTAACAATCAAAGAAATGATGTCGGTATCTGTAACTTTTCACTGGAGGAGTCATACCAGAGTTTAGTTAAGCTCCTGGGAACTGGGTCGTTTAATTTTAGCTACTTAAGTGCTTTTATCAGACGATTGAATACTGAAATTACGCTACAGAACTCTTGTAAAGGATGGAATATTGTAAATCGCCAAATATCAATAAATACATTTGAAATTTTATGTTAGAAAACAGAAAAACAATAGTTTACACTGCCATGAAAATATTTCCCATGCTGTACATTGTAAGGTGGAGAATAGGCAAAGACAGAAGGGGTGGGGAAATAGAGTGGGGTGGGTGTGCAAGGAGAGGAGAAGAAAGTAAAATGGTAGGTCCTGCATTCACTTAAAAAAAGAAAAATAGAATAGACAGCATGTGCATGTTTGTGTGAAATGCCAAAAAGAGCAGCCTTAAACCTGACCTAATGCAATCTGCACCCAGCTCCTCAGACAATAGACAAGTTCAAATGTCAAAAAATCTAATAAGAAAAAACAGAACTGCCAAACTGCACGAACTGTTTTCTGGTGTACCACAATTACTCACTCCCTTATCCACTAAGAGACTGCTGGGCACCAACATAGAAGAGGAAAGCCATTCCACATACAGAGAGACCTTTTGTTGTTGTTGTTGTTAGTTGTTAGGGAGGGTGGGGTAGGGGGAGTTAAATTCTATTAGGATGAGGAGCTCAGGGGAAAAAAAAAACCACACCTACTCAAGGCTGTCAATACTCCCCAGTTTTAAAAGTGACCGATCCTGTAATTCTTTTTTTGTCATTAGGTCTTATCTAAGTATCATTGTGAATCAGAATAATAAAATGCAGTCCAATCAAAGAGCTCTATTAAAAGTTATGAATCTTTATGAGTGAAAGTTTGGGGAGGAAAATTTGCATCCCTCCCCTAATGTACCTACATTGTGTCAACACTATTACTCCTATACAAGATTACTTCGATTACCTAGTCAGGTGCACAGACCCAAAGAGAATGGAAAGACTGTGGTGGTGGTGGTGGTGGTGGTGGTGGTGTGATGATGATGATGATGATGATTTTTTTTAAAGCACACTTTAGTCGTCCAGGACAGCTTAATGCACAATGTCCATACCTAAATTCCAGAGCATGAAATATCTTCTTAGGTTAAAAGCAGTCCCAACACTGTTGAGACTGAAAACATATTCTGGATGGCAAGATCTCATATCTTTGTATTTATAACTAATCCTATATATCGGTCCAAAATAACCTGAGAAGTTTCCTGAAAATTAGATAGGTCAGCTCTATCAATGAGGGCCTAAGTCCTATGGGTTTCTCAATTTGAAAACTTCAAAAACATTTAACACATGGACCCATCCCATATAAGCCTCCAGATTGACAAGGGTGAATTTTCACAGAAATGTTCCCATTTTAAAAGCCCTCTCGCTCCCCATGCGTAGAGCACCCTGTCTGGATCATGAGTATGCTTAACGTTTTAATTTGTAAATGCTAATCAGGCAATTGCTGTTCACTGTTCCAATAGTGTCTCGGCACCTTATCATTCTCAAATGGAAGCAAATGAATAAATATCCACTTTGTATTGGGGGCAGGTACTACACTGGCTATGTCTTCCCTACCCCCCTCCCCACCACCACCACCACTACCACTTGGCAAAGATGATTTGCCAATCTCCAATAATTTAAAATCTGTGGCTTTACCCAGCACTTTGCCTTTTAATTCATACGTGGCTAGATCCATCCATTCCCAAATAATTACAGTATTTCAAAGCAGTCTACATAAAATATCATTCTCAATTTAACTTGTTGCTTCTTGAGGAACTCTTATTTTCTGTTTATTTTTTAACTTTTAAAAAAGGCAGGGATAGTAAAGTGAAATTTTTAAAAAGTAGTTTCTTTCTATTTTTAAGTATACTTGGCAAAAGAAAATGGTATTACATGTATCAAAGAAATAACCAAGTAACCCCAAAACATATATGTATCTGGATATGTATATGAATGTATATACAAATATAGTATAAAATTAAAATAATAAACCAAATATCATAAACAAGTTATTGTTTAAAGAAAATTATGCTTTAAATATGCACCACACCACAACAACTTTGTGAACATGTTGCCAAATACCTGGCTTTCAAGAAAAAGAAAGCCTTTTCGTATACAAAATATCCAATATTGCTTAAAAAGTATTTAATCATGTTAGTGTATTTCTAGTAGCAGAATTCTGAGACAAATCTACTGATAGTTCAATCCCCATCTTCACAAATGCTTTCATTTAAAATATTCACTTAATCAAAGCAAAAGCAGTATTCTGGGCTCAAATTACAGTAAAAATTACCTCAATTCTCTACTTCATTTTGATGGCACAGATGACATCACCCTCCTGACATTAAATGTGGAAGTTTATGAAAGAAAAAGATTAAATGAAAATGCTTTTTGACTCCATTTCTAATACTATTCACATTATTTCAAACTATTTTGCTTTGGCATGAGATGATGTGGCCCCTTAATGGACCTAGTCTCAGATCTAGGGTTTAAAAGTTAATAAAAACTTTCCCTGCTTTGGTCCTGGTTAATTTGGATTTCAACTGTAAAGAATGAGTTATCTTTTCTCACCCTGCCAGAGGCAGATTATAGTTCTGCACTTAATGTGTCCCTGTGCTAACAGGCTCCATGACACATTTACAGGTGTGTTCAACTATTGACCCATGCAAGGAGACTTCTCACTCAGTGTCATACATGGCTTCCTTTCCTAAGTCTTACTCTACATATCTCCCTGGGGAAGGGAGGGTGAATGCTGCAGAGAAATTAACTATTTTCTCAGAACAGGCTTAGGTTTCTTTTTCAACATTTTAGGAAGCTCTTCTTACACTGTGCTACAATTGCCCCACAATGAAGTAGTTTTCATTTCAACTTCAAAAGCTCTGGAGAGGGACATCTTGTGCCCCTTTTTAAACTTTTCCCCAAATGACTTACATAACGCTATGTGATAAATAAGCCCTGTATGCCCAATCAAAAATAAGAAGGCCAATGTTTTATAATTCCATTTCAATAAAAAGCTATTCAAGGAGAAGGTTTTAAATTTAAAAAAAATTAAGTTTATCATAAAACATTACTGGTACCAAGGTTTAGAACAGCAATTAGATATTGGATGAAGTAAATTGTATTCTTTTTTTTTTTTTTTTTTGCTGTATCTCCAGCCCGTGCATCCTGAGCTCTCTATCTTGTAAAAGCTCGAGCAATTCATCAGGTTATTTCGGCAACAAATTTCTTATCGTGCCTTGGACTGCTCCTTCCTATGGATTTTAGTCTCAAAAATCTGTAGCTTGGAGGATAGCTTTTAGATAATAGATTAAAAATTCCCACCAAACTATCCTTGTCTTCAAAGCTAAACCCTGTGCCCCAGCTCCAGACAACTAGACAAAAATCCACCTTATTGAGAAAATGAAATGATTAGCTTTAAAACTGTATTTCTTTCAGGTCTACTTCACAAATATGGTTTGGGGGCCATCTTGCTTCTTGTATAAACACACACATTGTGCAATGTATACAATTCACAATGTGAATATGCATAAAAGTGGCGTTTGGTCTTTCCTCTGGCAAGTTTGGAGGAGCCGACTTGCTGTTGAACTCGCTGCATTTTTCTCAGCTCTGCCTTAGGCGAGTCAGTGCTCCCCCTGCTGGCCAGAAGTGCTACTGCTGAACATTTCAAAAGTTTATTTTGTTCAGTAAGCCGTGTCATATAAAATTAACGACAACCAATAAAATTAGCTTATATGTTTCAACTGTAAAAGTCCAAAACAAAATAAAGCTAGTTTTAGTGAAGCTAGAAAGCTCTGGTTTGGCTTCTTCTCTTTGGCTGAACTAGGGTCCTTTTATCTAAAGCCCAGTGCACAAACATATAGCTTAATGTGACTAGTGTTCTTCCTTTTATTTCTTTCTCTATGGCAACCAATATGTTCTGCTCAGAAATGTTCCCCATCAAGGAAACAAATGATCTTCAGGGAGCAGCTCTAT